AGTTGGAGCATGTTCGAGAAATTCGTCAACGATGCCACTAACATTGACCGTATTATTCTGAATGTTTTAGATGAAAAATAAACCAGATGGTACTCCCAGACGGTTTCTCCTCCGCGTTCACCCTTCCCCATCGAGTACGTATTGAATATTTCATCCGAAGATCTGTATTTTTCTTCGGGTGATTGTCATTCGAAGAGGTCCAGAAGCGACGGGGTGTGCTGGCAGGCTGGAGCAAAATCAATTATTCATCCGAATTGGTCGGGAAAAAGTCCTAATTATCCAGGGCAAATACAAGCTTAATACATGGAAGCGTACCCTCCCCCCCTTCTATCCAGTACCTCACCGCCCATCCATAAAGCCCCCCATCGGTTGGTACTCGCCTCGCAGTCGGTCTTCAGGCTTCCTTCTTACCGTGAATAACCATTTGTATTTCCAATTAGCTTTGCTAATAAGAAGACGGAGGCATTGCCGTAGTTAAAAAAATGTATAACCTCATCCAGCCACTGGGGAAATAAAGAAAAGCGCTGCTCCGGTATGACAATACCGGCGGGTCGAGCGGGGTTATACGGGCTGAACTACAATTAAAAATCCTCGCTTCACCCTCGCTTAACCCTGCTTCCTCCTTATGCCGTATTAACGACCGGGACGTGCAGGGAGGGGACACCGAAACATCCTACCAAACATCGAGGCTTCTTTTACCAATTTTACGTTTGACCCCATCGCTATCCCTCCGACTGTCTGTCTGTCCGTTCTCCCTACTCTGTTTTTATTTTTCGCTCAACGGCTCGTTTCTTTATTCCGATTACGATGATTACTTCGTTCGGCTATGCCACGTCACTCTTCCACCATTTCCTCGGAGCAAACATTTTTCAACGTAAGAGTTGACAGGTTCATTTCAATCTCGTAAAAAACATTGTTCTCGCTGTTGATTTTTTTGTTGGTTTTTATCTTCTAAGAGAGAAAATTTTCTTTCCGCGACAAAAACCATCGACGCGTGTGTTGCGTTTCGCGTTTCGAGATACAAGTCAGGAGGGTGAAGCTGTGTCCCTTCCTTGGCTTGTTTAGACAAAGTATAGGACCGATTGGGTCTGAGGGTACGGGACGAATTTTTCGTCACTAACCTATCTCATTCTGTATGTTTCTTTCAAACCGTGCAGACGTGTCTTCCAAGTGTTTCTAATAAAGCTTAATTAAAAGTAATATCGAACAAATTGTTTTTATTTCACCACCTACATCCAATAGTTTTAATAAATATTTCTAAACATTTTTGAAGGCATTCCCCTTCGCTCTAATAAAAAAGAATATTTTCTGCGCTCGAAATAAGCAAAAATGGTATACCCCAACAGTATAATTGTTATATTTTTAATACAACGAAATGTTCGAGTTATCTACATCAAGAAACAAACTTAATTTGTATAACGTACGCAAGCATATATGTACATACATGTAGTTGCGGTCCATTCTAGTACACATAGTAGTCGAAAAACAAAGTTTCACTTGTAAAATAAATTTTTCATTCCATGACTTTGTCTGCTTTCTTTCATAGAGAAGTACATGTTTTAATATTGTTACTGCTGACATTGTTGATAGTAAAGAAAAAGGGAATATTTCTTGAAAAATTGAGAATAAATTTTTGCATAAATCACTTTCTGTGGTATCTTATATGCGGTGGATGAAAAACAAAACATAAAGGAATAACAACAGAAAATCGAAAGAGAACTAGGTACTATTTATGTATCCGAAACGAATACAAATATAACATAAAATATTACATATATAATGTTTTCTTCATATTATGACGGCACTGAGAGGAATACTATATTTTATTTGCACTTTGTAAATATTGTTTTAATTTTCTTCCTAAGGTTGATTTGGGAATAGTTTCTTGACAAGACTTTTCGCAAGGAAAGTAATTTTTGAAAAAAATATTTCAAAGAAAAAAGGTATGGAAAAGAAATGATATTAAATAATTCGATGCTGCAGAAGTTAAGGCCACGGAAAGGAAATAACAATCAAAATCAAAGGTAAGCAACATGACAAAATTATTAAATTAATTTTTGAAATATTTTCATGTTACTTTTTTACCTTTGACAATTTCATTGCCATTACCACGGACCTCTTCTATATATTTTATTTTATATTTTAGTTCGTTGTCCGAGAGTCGAGTAGCCAACAGGTAAGTACAAAATATTTAACGATACGCGATTCGGTAAATAGTGACAGAAATATCAGTTAACAGTCGGTAATTCAGCGTGCCGTACAAAAACATCGCTCTTATAGGGACATGATATTTGTCGATGGTAGATCGGATTTCTTGGAGGTCGGACTCTGTTTGCAAACTTGGGTTTATGTTCAATGACTCCGTGTAGCATCCTTCGTTTGGCCGACCGGTAAACTTAGCTGTAAGGTCGACCAAGCATCGTTCCTTCTCAGTTACGATCGACATGTTGTGAAAAGTGTACCTCAGGTTTACGCGAATAACGTTAAATATCGAAATCGAATTCATAGTGTTACTGATGAAGTGTTTAAATATTCATTCTATGAAAAATCATCTTCACACTCCGATACACGTACGCATTACATACAACGTACGGGTAAGTACAGTTTCGCGTGTATTTATGCGAACTTGTATTAGTTAAAAGATAAAATAAGTGGGCACTATCTGCAGCAAGGTATACTATTCATTATATTTTCTGTTAAAAATAATTAATAATTCAATTATCGATATATGTAAATTGACATTCATTCTTTGAAGTTTCCTGTCGAATTTATTTTAAATTAGATGAATTATCCAACGTTGTCCGAGGAGAGAAAGATTGTATGAATGCACAACGTATTTTAACGTTTCTTGATATCATATATCATTTTTTATTTTAAATTTTGGAGTAAAAGTAAACAGAGTTAAGAGTTTGAGTCAACTTTTTGATTGTTATTGATTCTATCAAAAATTTGTATAGAACAAAATGTTTTCAAATTTAATTTACAATATTTTCTGTTATGTATGCTTTTTCGTAAACGAGACAGCATACATTATGTAGTTGACGTCACTTTCAAGCTCAGAACAAGAAGTTTCATAAATTCCATTTACAATGATTTTTCTTACGTTACTTGGTGCTATAAAAGCACCAGTAGACAAGATATCCTATATGACCCTTTTGTGGGTGGCACTAAAAACTCCCCTCCCGACACGAATTTTGCGATGTTATGTAGCTTACATTTTAAGTCGAAGTACTCTATGGACACGTTCCAAGTTTCATCGTGATCCTATCAGACGCTCTTCAGTGATGCTTTAACATACACACAGATACAACCAACTTTTATTTATAAGGATAACGGAAAAATTGATCGCACTTAGATAATGTAAATCATTTTCGAAATATAGTGAATTGATTGAATAATGAAACAAGGTTGAGTAAAGAATTTTAAAAATTTCGTTCGTCGTTTGAGAAAATTTAATTATTTAGTATTTAACATTTTAAAATCAAATTTTTACTAAAACTTGCTCGGAGATGTTTTGAAGATAATTATAAAATTTCATAATTTTTGTTCAGCCGTTTTCGGGTGATGCTTTTACAAAGAAACATCCCACATGTAGTCTTATAAAATTATAATATATATTAGACAGCTAAGCTAATTTTAATAATTTTATAATAGATGTAAGTTCTAGCTAGTGCCTGGTGCGTCATAATAAATAAAAATGAGAGTAAAAACAGTACCAAGGCATCTGACAGTGCATAAGAAAAACGATGGATCGGACGAATGCACTGCTGGCAATTCGGAAACGAAGCAATCAGAAAATTTCGATGTGAAGGATAAGGAAACAAAAGAATCATCTAAAGATCTTGTGGAAGCATTAGATCTCACTACTAAAGAAAAGGTAGGACACGCGACAGTATCTGTTCATTATGTGTTGTGTAACTTATTCGTATTCATTCACATACGCGTTCATAGATCGGTTAAAAGGTAGTACGCGTTTCTCAAAACCACGGTTAAAATATAAACAGATGCTATAGAAAGTCATTCATACGAATTTATTATTATGTCGAGTGTCAAGGTAGACATTAATACAGTGTGTTGTTCTTCATTGTTCAGTTTACTGTTCAACCGATTTTTGCCATTTATAAATCCTTCCAATAGTTCAACATATGTATCTGTGTTTACCATGTAACAACAATATAACCATGACTTTATTAGTGACAAATAAATGGAGCAAATTTTATAACTCTGCGTAGAACTTGGTTGTCAACAAAAATTTTACAGATACAATGAAATATGCATATTTTGGTAACAAGAATGTAAATTGTATTAATATTCTATAGGCAAACTACGATTAATTTTCATACATTTCTGTCGTCAAAAAACTGATTTCACTAAATTTTTGCAAAATCCTTTTTCCTTGTTCAAGAAATTGTTTAGGGTTTCCCTTGTTTATAATATAATCTTATACGAAACATTTAATTTCCTTCAGGTTCCATAATATATTGATTTTCAATTGTACTTAGTATTTTTTGAATATTAAAAGAAAATTGTCGTTTGTGCACGAAATCATAATATAACTCAATCTTTTACTTTTTTATTTATATTACTAATTCTCAGTCCTTCGATTAATTGTTCATTAGAACAGAAAGTCAACAGAGAATACTCGTATGTGAAAATTGCAGTTTGCCAAAAGTAACATTTTTTTATGTACGGCTCCTTTGGAGAAATATTATCACGATGATTACGTTTTCTTAATAATCTTTTAACGATCGACGCTCTTACTTGTTTCTTTACATATTTTTCAACGTCAGAAGGTAACTAAAGCTCATTTTATTTTTGTTGTGATTATACTCAATTTTTGTAAGAATCTGTTGCTCAGTTCTTATTTTGTCTATACTTTAGTCTACTCCATAAGTGACCCTCTTCTGTATATCGTTTTATTATACAGGGTGATTTACGCAATTGTAACAAGCTATATTTTTACTTTGGTTCGAGTCAATACAAAATGTTAAAGGAGAAAGATGAAAGGTCTTAAAGGGATCGTAAGGTAATGTGATTAATATTCACGTAGGTGGCTACGTAACAGTCTTATAAAGGTCATGGACGTTGTTTTTAACAAATACGTACATTTTTTTCACACATACCGAATGTTTTCTTTATTCTGTGTAAAAAAGTGTTCGGGTAACATTATCGAAAAATAAATATTTTACAAGATTGTTTGACAAAATGTCTTTATCGAAGCAAATGTTCAACCACCTTTCCACCACGTTTCAAGCATTTTGCACAATGCTTTTCAATCGTTTTCATTATCAAATTAAGATGTTTGGTTACTGCTCTGCAATAGATTATATTTTCTTTTAGATTCTCTACTGAATTAATAAGATGCGTTTATACTTTATTCTGTATCTGCCCTCATAAAAAAGATGTTTTTTTGTATTTGCTTCAATAAAGACATTTTTTCAATAAATCTTGTGAACTATTTTTTTTATCGTTAATGTTATCCTAACACTGTTTTACTCAAAATAAGGAGAAGATTCGGCATGTGTGAACAAAAATGTAGGTTTTCGTTAAAAAAAAACGACCATGATCTCAATATGATCGTTGCGCGTTCACCTACAAGAAAACTATTTACACTGCTTTAAGGACCCTTTAAGACCTTTCATCTTTCTCCTCTAACATGTTTCATTAACTCAAATCAAAACAAAAATATAGCTTGTTACAGTTGTGTAAATCGCCTTGTATAATATAACATGACTAATTTCTCATAAAATTTTCCCGCTTTTATAATGATAAATAGCTAACTATTACGCTGTTGTTGATTATAGTATATTTATTATTTTTGTCTTTATTTTTTCATAAAATAATATACAGTGCAAACAAACCTCGGTTGATTCAAATATATTCAATTGTTTCTATATATTACTAAGCAGAAACAACTTGGGAAGTCATTATTGTTTGCAGTGTTACTATTGTATACAATTTTTACTGATAGATAAGTTTAATGAAAGTTTATTCGATTGTTTTGATTTTTACGTTTTATAAATAAAAATCTATTTACATTCTATTGTATATTATTATAGAATGATAGCACAAGGTTCAATGAAAGATTAAATTTATTTTCTGTTAATGTTTCAATTAGGATAGTCGTAGAATGACTGTTTTAATGGAACAGCTGTAAACATTTAATATTTATATAAAATGTATTTTAATTTTGAATTCCCTGATTCTGTTTTCCGAATAATTAAAATTTGTTTTAGACCGTTGTGTCTGAAAAAGATTCATGGAATTGCTGCTCGATAGCTGGTCTATCATCGTGTTGTCAGTATTCCGAGTCACTTTCGGACGAGGGTTCGGAAGAAACTGATTGCTGCAACGACAACAATAACGTAAATCCTAATTGCAGTTAATTATTTTCCTCTACGTGTTTCAATACTTAACGTTTGTATATGTATTTCAGATTTGTTCGTCACATATAAACGAAGTACATTGCTGTGCTCTAGTCGGTCCTTCGAGTACGGATCCCACAGAATCATGCACAGATAATTCAAATGCTCGTAACCACGATGGTTATACACCGGTCGAAGCTGTTAATTTATGCAAAAAGGAGCAACATGAAAATGACATATCGAATACTAACGAAGAGTGCGACGACAAACGCAGTGATTCGCTGCTTTATAAATTTCTGACAGACCCGACGTTTCTCGGTATGATACGCAAGGATACAAAATTGAGAAGGTACGAGTGTCAGTTTTGCAAACAGGAATTCGTTAATAGCGACGAACTGGCCGATCATATGGACGTGAAAAAAGACGCGTCAAATCAGATAGTTTGTTGCGCGTGCAACAAAACGTTTGCGTATAAGCGGTATCTGAAGTACCATCAGAAATGTCACTCCGAGAAGGCTAAATATAGTTGTACCATCTGCAGAAAGAAATATACCAGGATAGACAACTTAACCAGGCACAACACGGTCCACGTGAATCCCAATAAATTCTGGTGCACGATGTGCAAAAAGACCTTCACGCGGAAAGATTGCTTGAACAACCATCTGAAGAGTCACGACGTCGATGATCAATTTTTTTGTAAAATATGCCAAAAAGATTTCGAAGGCCCGTTTACGCTGGACCATCATAAGAGAACTGTTCATTCGACCGCGGAGTCGAATTCGGAATCGCAGACATACGTAGCCTCCGAGGAAAAGTTTAATTAGAGCAATTAACACGTTTCCTGTCCACTGAGCCAAAACTTAACGTTATTTGAATTTAATTTGAATTTCTCTGCCAAGGTATTAGCAATATCTTCTGGAAGAGTTGCGATTTTGTTTTCTTCGGTTTCGAGGAAGTGGATTTTGGTGTGTGTGTGTGTGTAGCTGTTGTTTATTTGTTTAATTTTTTTCTAGATGTCTTTGGTAGGTGTTTGTTTTGCTATGTGGACAGTGAAAGTGTTGAACCTCTTTCGGAACCAAGTTAGAGGTCTTACACACGACGATACTTGTATGCGATACAAATACGATTGAATACCGATCATAGGTACATGTAAACTCGATATGAACGTCGACAATGAGATAAAAGTTTTCGACATGTATCTCATATACGGTATCGTCGTGTGAAGGGGCTCTTGCGGTACAAAATCATATAGGAATTATATAGAATCTTATAAAAATATACAAATTCCGAAGAACGAAGCTTCATATTATTGAACATCACCTAAAAAATCGACTGAAGATTTAATCGGGCCAGTGTTTAAAAAGAAAACTTGGAGGGTATCGCAACCGCGTGACACATTGGTGAAAAAAGCAGTGAAAAGGTACAAGAAAACTCTTTTACTCGAAATATCTCGTGTGGTTTCGACAACATTCTTTCTTCGTCTTTCCTTCCCCGATTCCTCCGGTTCGTAGTTCGTTCGGTGCTCCTCGTAATTTCTCTTCTCCCTCGGTCTTCCATTCGAGGTCTAAAACATAATCCGTTTCTTCCGTTCTGCCTCTCGCCCCGACCACTTCGCGAAAAAAGCGAGCACTCTCTTTGTTTCGGCTCAAAGGGTACGGCGCCGTCGCAACGAGGAGCACTTTGAAAATCCGACGTATTACCATGGCACATCCAATCGGTGAATAGAACAACCATGAAGGTTGACCCGCGTCCCTTTCCCCACCATTTTCGCCTTTACTCCCTGTTTTCTTGTTTTTTCTTGACAGCCTTCTTCAATCCCCTCTCTGTCCACGCCCCGCCGTTTTCCCTCCGTCCTTTTCCGTTGCTCGTGTTCTCTCTCGGTCCCGGTTTAATGCAATTAAGTCGAGCGTTAAAATATCGTTCTTAATTCGCCGGCGGCATCTTTTGTTTCCTCTGTGGTTTAGCGCGAGCATTTCGCGGTGGTTCCTCGTTCCTGCCTCTTTCAACCATGCTTTTCGGCTCTTTCCTCCCTTTTTGAGTGCAATTCGTTTTTTTCCGTAAGAAGTACACGCACGCGTCAGGCATACACGTCACAAGATAAAGCTTCCCCGCTAAGCTTTTTAATTATTTCTCAACTCACCACACCGTTTCTTGTTATCGAGCGTAACTCTGTTTTTCATTTGTTTGACTCGAGGGATTCTGTTCGTTTCTTTTGACCGTTAATCCTCTTCAAGCCAAGCCATACACTTTGTGCGAAACATTTTCAGTCATGGAATGTTATTTAGTTACACTCGTCGAGCAACTGTGTCCATTTATTGCGTTAGTCTTTGCTTATACTCTACTAACCACATTCAACGGAACAATTTCGTATTGTAAATTTGTTACATTTTTTCGTGAAACGATACTTTTTATTCAGGTGCCGTTTTCGCGCTTCCCGTTTTAGCGACGCGCAGTTTTCCATATTTAAAGCAGTATTCTGGTCTAGACGGTTGTTTTTTAGGTGACTTGTCGACATATGAAATAAGGAACGACTAATTGTCAGTCTTAAATAAGCTATTTAGAATTTAATGCTTCGACTTGTAAGTTTTTAAATCATTCCCAGAAAAGAAACAAACATTACAATCATACATTAGAGAGAGATTGTGAACATGAAAACTAGTGTGAATATACAAGGTGTACAGGGTGTAAAGTTAGGTAAATTTCATTTCGAATAACGAATACAACTGAACGATATTAAATAAGCTATTTAGAATTTAATGCTTCGACTTGTAAGTTCTTAAATCATTTTCAGAAAAGAAACAAACATTGCAATCATACATTAGAGAGAGATTGTGAACATGAAAACTAGTGTGAATATACAAGGTGTACAGGGTGTAAAGTTAGGTAAATTTCATTTCGAGTAACAAATACAACCGAACGACATACATTATTATTCTGAAGGAAATCATTTGTAGTTGACGAATATGAAATTTCAAATTTCCTTGAGCCCTAAATTCTGACACGTCAGATTTATTCTGTAACGAAACGCTTGCTTCGTATGTTTATAAAAATGCAAGTTAATCTGTGGAATAATTTTCGAGATTTCAGTGTTTGCTATTTGGAAAGCATCGTTTTGAAAAAAACTCGTTCGAAGCTTTGTGCATAGTTATAAAGTTACACTTAATTTTCTACAGAAACATTCACAGGTACTTGCTTTACTGAAATGAGTATCTTCTTGACACTTTATACTATTATAATATAATAGAAGCACTGACGCGACGGTTGAAGAAACCGAACAAAACCAGAAGAAGTTTTTTTCCGTGCAGTCTGTTAAGAATTAATATTGTTTTGTCTTGTCTGGACTAAAAACCATTTCTTTTAATTATTAATACGATCGTCAAACGGGCATTGGTATCTGACATTTGCATTATTCTTATCGAACAGTAATATAACAAATTCTTTTTGTTAGTAGACTTTTTATAATCGATAAAATTATAAAATCGATTACAATATTATAATGTCTCGTACTGGACACCTTTTTTGTTACTTGTTACCCGTCGATTGTACCATTTGTCGCATTTTAGTAACGCGAAGAATTTCGAAAGCTTTCTTGTGTATCGCAGGGAAAAGAAAGAAAGATACGTTTGAGAAAAACAGAGCAAAGGCCAGGAACTACTTAAGTTTTCTGCTCGTTTTCTTTCGTTGGCGCCTCTTTTCTAGCCGCTTGCTATGTTCAAGCGCGTCCCTTTGATCCACTTATTCGGCCAGCGTGTATCGCGGACTTGACCAAAAATGTGGCAAAGTTTCTTCCGTACTTCCTTTGTGCTTTTGACCACAGTCGTTCTTTTGACAATTACATTTCGAGCAGGTTCCTTGAATATTCTTTGGTCATCCTGTGATTTGTGAAATTGTATTTGAATAATTCTTCAGAATTTGGTGTTCTGAATTCGTCAAATTTTATTAAAACGAAGCAGAGTATCCTTTAATTCGCGAAGAAATTAATTTTTGTGGCCAGGAATATAGCTAATTAATATTTGCGGATGACAAACCAGTTCCTCAACATTTTAGCAACGAAATATATTTATTTTTCCGTGTGTATAGCGATAATATATAGAACACTTTAATTATTTCATGAAGATAAAAGAAAATCTGTGATTTTCTCCCACTCTATCGAGTGATTTCAGATGAGATTTAAGTTGTAACGAATGTTTGGATGTCTAAAAGAGGACATTTTTCTCGTTACACGCATCCCTTATATCTTTGCCACCCGTTGTTCCCTAATCTCTCCTCGCTAGCGAAATTTACAACATTATACTACGGAAGAATCCCTTTGATGTTGCGCTTTACATACAATATTTACATACTATCAAGGGAAGACTTTAAAGTTCGTGAAGATATTTTGAAGACCCCAGAGTACTTTCCACGGGCTTGCTGCATTAAGAATTTAAGAAAGAAGGAGCTCGGTGGCATTTATTCATTCAGGCATTAATGAAAAGTTCCCGTAGCGTTTAGTACAAAAATAAATACCTTGAAAGAGATAGAAGGAAATTAATAGATGGGTCGATCGTTTACTTTGTTTCTAACTAGTTGCTTCCAATCAATTAAACAGTTTAATTTTTAAATCAAAAGATCAATCTCAAAATTTTGGACATTTATAAACATTTTTTCGTGTATAAGTCATCGCGTCGCTCTTTACGATTTATTTACAACTGGCAAAAATTCTGATTTTCTAAATGCAACTGTTTAATTGAACAACAAACGCAAACATTGGCCTGTTCTTAACCGTTGTAAGCGTAAATGTCCCTTGAAATTTGGCGAGTAAAGCTGTCATTAAATTCAAGTAACGCGTCACAACGACAATATGATTTTGGACGCTGCTGTCCCGACAGTCACTTTCCGGTACTTTTCCAACGGGACACGGTCGGTATGAAAACAAATGTTAAGACTTCAAACTAGACTAGTGAAAGCATGCAGATTCGCGCGCGATCAGAAAGGTCGAAGCACAAAATGACGACGGAAACGAAAGACGTGCATAATACTTCGTTCACCGCGGAATTGAAGTCTACATCGAAGGGCAGCGGTTGAAGGAAAGCGGTTATCCGTAATGACTACGCAATCTAGAATAATGATAGAGGGTGTTGCGGTACAAAGTAGATAGGCGAGGGTCCACGCGGCCCTCGCGGTTTAAAAATCACTTTATTGCAACCGACACCACTCAGCCTCGTATCTGTCGCGTATATTTCATAAAACACTCGTTATTTTAGAAATATCAATTATACCATACTCTTCACAATTAGGGCAGTATTCTATTCTAGAACTTGAAAAAATCGATTGTTTCTTAATTTCATTTGAATTACATAGTTTGGCAACTATGTAATTGCAGATTTCCCTGATAGATGATTTTCAGATTATCATTTGTTTCGTTCTTTGCAAAACTTCTTGAATGGTAAACATTTCAATAACGATGACGATATCAAATCATACTTTCTTCAGTTTTTTGCTGATAAAAACCAAAACTTTTATGAACGTTGAATTATGATATTGCCTGAAAGACGGCAAAACGTCATTATTAGAAATGGACAATAAATTTCTAAATAAAGTTATTTCATTCTATGAAAAAATTGTCTTCTATTTTATTAAAAAAATCCGCAAACCAATATAGTATATCCACGAAAATATTTTGGCAACGAATACTACCTGGTACGAAAAAATTAAGTCATACGCATTTATAAGTAATATGCAGCACACCTTTGCACAGTAATGTAGAACTTTGAACGCGATTTTCCCAAAACCACATTTTTCCAAATAGTTACTACGATATTTTTAGTTCTAACTTAACTGATTACGACCAAATTTGGAGGGCATCTTCGT